GATAATCAAATTTTCTTGTACAACAATTTGAAGTGATGTTTTAGAAAAGAAAAAATAGAATATATATATATATATATATATATATATATACATATATATACATATATTCAATGTCTTTCTTAAATTTTTTTAGAGAATTGGATGTGCAATCTAATAAAAAACTAGATCTTTTACCGTAGAAGTTTTTCATGTTATTAATAAAATGCACATTATACACTAAAATATTTATAACTTATTATGAATAATATAATACAAATTAGCTAAATTTTTCACATTAAGACTGGATATATATATATATATATATATATATATTATTTATTTATTAATTCTTTAGCACATAAGTATTGGATTCTTTTGATTTACTTTGGAAGCAATAATTTAAAAAAATAGTGTCATAAATAATCATAGAAAATAAAGGCATTAATTTATGTAAAGCTTATTTTAATAATATTATTATAATAATAAATGCAAGATTAAAAATTATAGAAAATGTCAATTTTTTTTGTAAAGTGGCTTACTCATAATAAAATTTTCAATTAATATACTGCAGCTTCTGGTATCAACCTTAGATGTTGAATCTCTACCCAAACCTTTGTATTATTCAGACATTTAAAAAGGGTAGAATTTGACAAATTTTATTAGATCAACTCATAAATAGATGAATACATAAAAAGATAAAAATCTTCTTCAGATGGATACATACACAAATAGACACCACTATCTTTAATATATAAATTTGAAGAATAAAATATATCAATTAAATAGTAAATAATTAATTAAATATTTATTTTCTAAATGCCAAATAGATATGTTTAAATGTAATTTTTTTATATTAATATTTTTATCAATCTTTATCTAGAAGACAATAAAAGCTACATTGTATAGTATACAATGTTTTAGCACCAAAGACTTTTTTTCAATTCTTTTAAAAATATTTTTACACTTTAATACAATTTCTTTTCTTTTCTTTTCTTTTCTTTTGGATGCATTTTCACTGGTCAAGTATATTTATTTACTTATTCGTTGATAATGTAATGTAGTTATAAAAATTATATAACTCTTTATTTTAATGCGATTGCTAGTAACCTTTTGAGTATATAAAGATGTTTTGTATGGAATATATTCGTTACATTTTTTTTTTTGAATTACATTAAGAATAAAATTTATTTTTTCTAAAAACTTTCTTGTTAAAATTTATTAATAGAAAGAAATTAAATATATATCTTACTAAAAATTTCATAATGAAATGTTTATTATATTTATTTTTTTCTTTTATTTTATTATTGTAATTATTTTTCATAATAATATCATATACAAGCATCTTTCTTATATTTCTATGATTTTTAATAATCAATACAAAAATCATGTTTAAATCTATATTTAATAAATCTACATTTTATTTAAATATTTTTTAATGATTTTATAAATAATTAAATAATTATATAAATATAAATATATATATATATATATACATACATATACAATGATAACTGAGAAGTGTGATCCTTTTCTCACAATAATGGGACTGAACTTGGGTGGTAAAGACAATGAGGAAGTACAGAGGGTAGCAATATGCAGTGTCTAAATGCGCCCTCTCAAAACCATCCTCTTGAGAAATCAGTTGAAATAAATATTTAACTACATTTCTTGTAGTAGATAGCTGCTTTGTCTCTGGGCGTACTTCTATTGTGCAGATGGTGGAATCATTGTCTAGCTCGGCATTATTGTTCTTAATCCACAAAACTGGGCCTGACACTGATGCTGTTGCCAAGGACGTGCAGGTTTCTGGCACAAAGGTGGCGCCTCAGATAAAAGAGATTCGCCGCACACACACACACACACAAAATAAAGTAAAATAAAAATAAAAAATCTAGAAACCCAAGTGAGAGTATTGTCAAAACAACCAAAACACGAGTCAAAAGCTGATGGAGATGGAGACGAGATTCGGCAGGAGAAAGAGACGAGGTCGAAAGATCATCCATCACGTGACAGTTGCAGCTTCCCTCCGACAGTCTGAGGCCAGCTGCCGAAAGTCACGTGTTGCAGAAGCATTTCAATACAACTCAACAGCTCGTGATCTTACGGCACAGGTCACAGGCTGAATTAAATGTCGTATGTGAAAGCTCCAGTGATGTGTGGTCCTTTTCTACGAAGGCCAATTATTGAGCATTATGGATCTGTGATGAGAGTACCCAGCTGAATACATGGCCACTCCCTTTTGGCTCAGTTTAACGCAATTTAATTATACTGCGGATTGGTCGAAGGTCTCGCGCGTCTTCTCTTAACGTAGTTCCAGGGAGCGTACCACCGCAGCTGTCACAGCGTTATGTGTTTTGCATTCAGAGTTAGTGTGCGCTTCTGGTGAGCTTTCTCGCTCACAACAGGTTTCCCCTCAGCTGTCACAGCATGGCACCCAGAAGCTGAACCTGGGAAGATCGTATAAGACGATGAAGAGTACGTGAATCCGTCTGGCATGCATGATTGAAGACCACTGTAATACCTCACCTACTTTAAGTCTGATCGAGAGGGCGTGCTTGGAATGAGAACTTCGCGTGGGCCATATTTGATCTTCACGCTCTGGTGTTTCTTGTCTCGGTTCCTCATTCATGCTGTGCCGGTGGAAACCCTTTTGAAGTGGGAAAGAATTGAGGTAAATGTGGCAGTTCTTTGAGGTAACTACTGCCGGAGTATGCTTCAAGAGATCCGTGTACTTCAAGTGACGTGCGAACCCACCTTATTGATGGGTCACCGACACAGGACCCTCCAATCCTCTAATCTCCGCCGGGGTTAACTGTGTGTGAAGGTAACACGCACTGATGCATATATCTCCTAAGACTACATTACCCAGCACAGACGTAGTCGTTCTCCAGCAATATTAGACATCAATAATGTTTCTGGGTCGAATCTGACACTGACACCATGATCACATGCTGTTCGGATTTTCTCAGTGCCATTCGAATTACCGAATCAATGTAAAAATCCGATTCGCAGTAACGAAATCACTTGTGATTATAAAATAATCCAGAGATCATCTTTTGAGGTCATTGTGTCAATCGTTGACTGAGTCGTTCCGTGCCAGACAGACCTTGATGCACACAGTAAAAGCCTCCGCGTAATTTTTGCGGATAACAGTTGTACGTTGTGGGTATGAGCGGAAAACAGATTTGAATGGAAGACCGTTCCAACTGGTTTGAACTGGGAGAATAAAACCTGAAACGAAGGAAGCCATGTACATGTGAGTTGGGAATGCTGGGTTTTTAGTTTCAAGATGAACAGATAACAGCAAAACAAGAGGAGAAAATTTCCATCAAGGCTCAAAAGTGCTGTTGCATCAAAACTTTGGAAATGTAAGAGTACACTATTAGGAATTCATGGAGGGCGAAAAAGTGGGGTATTGATTGGGTGCATTGAATCGATTACCTGCTCTCCTGAATTGCATCAGTAATCAACTTCCAGATCCATTTTGGGTTCGCCATTGGCATAGGGCCGCACGCACGCGGACAGGCGTAAACGCACTACAAATCAATGAAGATTATGCCTCACAGTGTTAAGATGTTACCGTTGCCCGGCCTAAAGCGCAATGAGGGTAGAGTTCCCCAAGCTATCCAGCATCCGGATCCTGAATCAAACCCGTCCAGAAAAGTGAGTAGAACTGATTTGGTTTGAGAATCTATAAATCTGAACTACCAACTCTGAAGTCCAATCCTATGGGTTGATTGAAATCCCTTTTAATTCAGGAGCTCTTCCGCATCGAAATGAAGCCCGATCTGCAGTTGAAGGAGCAACAACTTGGGGAGTCACTACGAATCTGCACACGGAAGATGGAGGCTGCAGAATCGAACTCATTAGGAGTGTCCCAAGCTTAACTACCTACAGTTGAAAGTAGGAGAGGCAGGCGGATTCATGGAACTCCAGCGTCGCCTTCGTGTTCGGAAGAAATCAGGAAAACTGGTACAGCCCGAGCCTTCAGCTTATCCCTAAGACGGCCGCGGAACTAGAATCAAGCCAGGATTATTTATCTCATCGACATTCAGTGCAAGCTCCACGTATGTAGAAAACCATGTACGAGGAATAGAGGCACGCTAGATCCTCACATCATGCATCATGTGCGCCGAAAATAAAAATCAGTATCAAAATCGACGTCTATCAGTAAAACTTGATGAACATCACCAATAATCGAACAGACAAAATGTTGGTTCGAGGAATGAACTCATTCAGATGTCCAACCGCCAGCACGAATGTTCAATACGCCTAACCAACCTCCTCCTGTACAATTCTGCCGCCACCCTGCAAATCCTCACAACAGACTTCTCACAATCGACGGCCAATTTGGGTCGCCAACTCACCAGCTCTAACTCTATGCGAGCTAAACCCCAGCGGTGACGGCTCCATCGTGAACCCAGCAGCGAAGCTCAACTCGCCCCACCTGGTCGCAGTTGCTACGGCTAGACCTCTGGTGGCAAGTCGGTAACGGCCTACGACTCCCATCCATACGATACACGTACACCTCGACCTGGAATTTTTTTCCCCTCAAAAACAAATAATACGTTATTTGACCGAGTACACTCGCAGATCGTGCCTCCAGTACAGAGCATTCCTTATACCGTTCAAAGTACCGTAGGTCATGGAGCAATTGAGTGCAGGAGGCGGGTTACAACGATGCTTTGCCATCTTGGGGGATCCGCATTGCATGATTGATTGCTACTTACAGGCGATTGCCCTGGTTTTTCTTAGCTCTCCGCAAATGAGAAATCCATTCCTCTAGTAAGTTTTTTGTATCGGAGCTTGTGTAGGGACTCGTCGGCTTCACCCCCCTGCGATGGAAAAAATGGGCCCCTTCGCCTCGTTCCACGGTGAATAACCCCGTGACAGGTCCAGCTGCACTAATTTTGGACCCTGACACACTGTCATATGCTGTAGCGCATCTCCGACGAATTACCATGGCAACCGACAGCAGAGGGCGTGAAGTTTCTGGATGAGTAAATCGCCGCGTAGGCCGCCAATAATTTTACTGGACATTGGTGCCGGTCGCCCTCAGGGCCCTGGCGATGATGGCAGGGAGACCGAGAGCCGAGAGCTTTCACAGATTGGAACAAGCGCCAACGACAACAATCTAAGGAAAGCACTCTCACGTTGTAATCGGACCGGTGAAGTCGGAGCAAGGCTCCGTCTCCGTCGCTCCAGGACTGAAGAGAGACGCAGGGAGGGAGGGACCTCTGTGCTCGGTGTCCTTGCTCTGGCGCTCTTGTTGCAATCTCTCCAATCCCTTGCTCACGGTGGCTGTGTGCTGTGGCGGTTGTTGTGGTATCATGTTAGAAGGCGTGGAGTGGAGAAACCCTACCTCGAGAGAATGGCGATGGTGATGGTCACTTTGCTTGTGCTCAGGAGCGGAGATTCGCGATTCGGTGGTTGATGCTGGTGCGGGAGTCGGATTGTCATGCTGTCACTCCTTTCAGGTATTTGCTTGCCTGTGATGTTTGATAGTTGGCTGTTGGATGATTCTGCGCTGGCAGCCCATGGTTGTGGAGTGAAGCAGCGACCAAGTTTTTTGCATACTGCTCATAAACATTTATCGCCTGGTTTAGCGTGTCGCAACAGTGAGATAACAGGGTGAGTACATTGTAGGAGTTGGTGGAGTTACCGGAGTGCTGAATAATGTGCTGGTTTCGTGTGTGAGATGAGGATTTGTGGTTTCGGACGTTGGCTGTGAAAGTGGAAGCTTCACTAGATTAAAGTGGAAGAAGTATACGAATCGTAGTGCTAGCGCGTGACGTTGCAGTTGTTTCCGCTACTTTCGTGTACGCTACGAATTCGACTATGAGATAATGTTATCAACGCATTGCAAGCTGCCAGAGCTTTGTAATCGTCTCATCGATCGCGTTTAAAATCATTGGCCTATTTTTTTATTTTTAAATTTTAATATACAAACAGAATGGAGCTTGTCGACCTCAGGCAGTCTTATAAAATTAGTAGTATGCGCGACCAGCTATATCTCTTGAGCGTGCTTTTCTCTTGTTTCTGTAATGGCGTGGTCTTCAGTATTATCTTGAATGTATGAATAGTATTGAAACGATGTCTTCTCGTGATCGCAATCATTTCTCTTGCAGTGATGTTTCTTGACGACTTTGCTAAATTTTTGTGCCGAATGACTTATCTAGTTATCAACCCTCTGCGAAGCGGAGCGACGTGCACCATTACGCCTTTTTTGTTTGCATTCGTTCAATTTGTTTCGGCATTTGTGAAAGCAGAAAACGAATAATGCGTTTATTTCTGAAGTGGCTCTTTAAATCACTCTGTCTTATCTGTGTGAATCTCAACTCCTTCCAGGGACAGGTGGAGATTGTGGTAAAGAAAGATATGGCGTACTCAACAGTAGCCTACCCGGGGAGAGATCATGGTGGAGCAAATGGTTTTCGGCTCCCTGATGGATACATAAATTCTGGCAATGGGGAGCTTCGTAAGAAGCTTGGATCAATGGATGATACTCTGAATGTTGATAGTCCTAATCAGGTTCGCATTTTTCTCATGCGCCTGGTAGTGAAAGCAGAAGCGTATGTTACCTTTAATGGATCTCATTCTTGTGTCCAATCCATATTTACAGTGAATGTGCGCGTTAATGCGAATGACGTTTGGTCTGCCAGCATAACGAATGCAATGTGATAGTTTCGCTCATTTCTCTACTTCGAATGTTCGCTTGTGCATGAACAGCGAGTTATTATTTTTCTGTTCCCATTACTTAATTCTGTAAATCGTGCATTTGGCGACCTGATTTCTATTCTTTGTTTTATATTTTTTTTATCTACAGGTTAAGGAACTTGTGGACATTATAGAGGCGGCAGAGGACACAATTCGCACTCAGGTCTGAATCTGCAACTAGTTTCTTTCAGATCCGGGCTCCTTGTTACAAAGTATATTGTTTGTAGGTAGGTATCATGTCCTGCTACGTTGTAGAGCATCTGATTTTCTTCTCGCTTTGGACGAGTTCAATCAAAATAAAAACTTAGTAAACAAGTTTATGAGCCCTCATCATCATGTCAGCGTTGTATACTTCACTCTTAACTTTTCAGGCCAGGTTACGATCCTTAAGGTCAACGTGTGGTTGGTGAGTAAATGAAATCAATAGAATGGATCTTCAACTGAGTTGACCTTTTAGCGTGTGGTATTTATCGGATTCAATATCTAGTATTCCAGTGTCTCCAAAGGAGGTTGTATTATGGTCTTGTGTCTCTACTCACAGTTTTTTTTTTTTTTTTTTTTTTTTTTTTTTTTCTATTGGAAATCCTGAAGGTGGAAGAAACTGAAAAGTTGAGAAATGCTTTGAGAGTGGCTGAGATGGAGCTTCAGTCCGCCGTAAGTCCTTTGTTGTCTTTTTGGCTGCTTTTTTATTTTTTATTTTTAACTTTAAGTTCAAACTATTGATCTTAAGATATTTGGATGTCGAGTCCCTGTTAAGAAAAAAGGTGGCGACTCTTCTTGTCTTAGATAAGTGGGCTTCTTTGATCCTGTAAGAGTTAGATACTTGTTGCATGGCGAACGAAATGGAAGTTGGTTGACGTGTTCTTCGCAGCGTTTTTCTAGAATTCTTTTGGTTTACGTTGCTGAGCATTGATTATTGAGTTCTTCCAGAAAATTGAGGAACAAAACCAAGGCTTAAATGAGGGCTATCGTTCCTCGCAACCCTTTCATGGACGCAATCGAAGCTTTCAAGGACAGCCAGGGTCGGTGAGACTCGCATTTCAGCATCCCATGCACCAGAACGGTGATAATTATGGGGAATTGAGAAATGGTCAAACGCTTAAAAAATCTAATGGGCCATCTGCTGCAGATCATGAACGCTCAGTCTCCCCTCTTCCGTACGTCCTTTGTTTAACTGCCTTTTAAGTTTGCATGTTTTGGGGGGATTTCACAAGGCTGTATTTTTTTGTTCCTTTCGTCCGAGGTATGGATGAGCATTATTGTCTACTTGCAGACGTAGGAGAGGATCTGAGATGGACCTTCCACGAGATGCATACCAGGGACAAGTTTTCTCAGCTGAGTTACAAGAGCCTAAAGTTCACAGTGACCATCAACGTTCACAGGTCCTCATCTCTATTTTGAAATATTACTGTATATTCTACGAAATGGTTCAGAGATATGTCTGAAGCAACGAGAATATCGGATTTATTGAACAGTCCTGATGTTTTAAGACTCCACCAAGTTAATATTGTTTCAATTCATGGTTTGTATATTTATATATATCAAGAACTATCATAAATCTGTAAACTGCAGCAGAGGTTTTGCTAAGTTGCAAGACTGCTGGATGACGCAAGGTGCAATCACCAGAAATTCTGTAGCGAGATAACGATGTAGTTTGCTCCCATCCTGGATTGGATGATATTGCTGACTTGGGTTTGTTGTTGTACGAACAGGATTTGATGATTCAACCATCCAGGAATTCAGAGGAATCGAATCCAAATATCTTAAAAACCCGGCTCATGGAAGCGTCATTGAAGGTTCTCTTGCGCTCATGACATCATCGCGCGTGATTTTTCTACTGAGCCTTCTCTTTTTTTTGGATTTTGTTTACTTGTCTGTCTGCTATCTCTTGTTGGCAGTGAGAACTTGCTAACAGTTAGTTTGATCTTGGTATAAGTTGGTTGCTATTTGTTGCGTTTTAATCTTAGTTTTTCTAATACTTCCGAAAATGAGTGACATGATTTAATGCTGAAATAATGCACTGTCTCGTCTGTATGGCTAATAGGAAACTCAACTTGTTAGCGAGAAAAGGATACTTGAGCGGCGCGTTGCAGAGCTGCGTCTGGTGAGTGCTCCTATAATTCCTTGTACTTATCTGTGTTTCTGAATTCATTTGGCTGCTAACGTGCTGCTCTCTTTTATGATCCAGGCTTATGATCAACAACAGCAGAGCCTGGTGGATGCAGCATCGAAGGCCTTATCGTACAGACAGAATGTACTTGAAGAAAATATTAAGTTGGCTTATGCCCTTCAGGTTACATTCTGCATACATAATTTTCTGGACCTTTCTTGGTGGGTGGAAGCTGATGGACTCATCAGTTGCATTTGCTGTGACATGAACCATTTATGTGATGTTATGGTATAACTGTTGGTCTGTGTGAATCATTCAGGCGGCAGAGCAGGAGACGACAACTTATGTTCAAAACTTGATGCCTCTTTTGGCGGAGTTTGATTTGCAGCCTCCTGTCACAGATGCACATTCTATCGTCAGCCACATCAAGGTTGGTCTTAGTGTGAACTGTTAGTATGCGCACCACTCTTGAATTTTGTATTTCACATGGCTGAAATAAGATCCCTCAGCATGCTTGTTGCTACGATATCAGTGTGGGTTCATTCCTGAACATGATTTGGATCTGTTTCAGACTCTGGTTCAAAAGTTGCGGTCCGAGCTGCAGCTTTACGAGGTAATTATCAGTGTGTGAAAATGTTAACTGGCGTTCTTGTCTTGTATTTAACACACATCCAGTTTTCTTCTACATATATTAATTTTTGTGTTTATGTTTGGGTTGTGGGTTGTTTGATGCAGAGTAAAGCGAAAGATTCTCAGTTTTATCAACAATATCAACCTTCATACCAAAAAAACCAGTCATATAATCCTCCGCAATCTCCTCTTCATCAGGTATTCCTACGTATGTTAAAGTCTTCTTTGTTGTGATTTGTTCATCTCGTACCTTCTATTACGTCATGCGTGATCTTTTTGGCCTAAATGATCTGATGGTAAAGATTTCCAGATACAGCAGTCACTTCAGCGTTTATTTTTTCGCTGCAATAACGTGTTCAAAGTTGAGAAATTTGATTTGTTCCCTTGGAGGGTTTAGTACTGTATCTTTGCTAGGAAGGAAACGATGCCATTAGAATTGAAAATGGTAGCATGTCCGAACAGAGCAATGGTTTAGAGATCGTGCCGTCTTACTCTCAAAGGCCGGCCTCTCCGGTTCAACCGGTGCGAACAAGAAGACCTAGCTGGGATTCTGGTGTCTCTTCTCCGCGTTATGGTGGTTCGCGAGATAATAATACCCACGTTGCCGGCTCCAGTGAGCAAGAGTAAGTCCTTTGAATAGATTGTAAAGTATTTAACTATTAAATTATGTGTAGATCAGTTGACAGTGCCATGTCAGTATACTCAATCCTCGAGCACTTCTGTAGTGCGTAGTCAGTGGTAATTTCCTTCGAGAGTGATCTCGAGCAATTGTAGTTGTGGAGGTTAGCTCAGATCTGTTGATGTGGCCTATGTGGGTGTTAACAGGCCTCAAGTAGATGCAGGTGCTATTGTGCCTCATGAGTTAGGCAATGCTACGCCAAATGAGGGCCTCGAGGATCTGGAGACCGATGATCTTCCTTACAACGGAACAGACACTCGTGGAGATCCTTCGGTTGGTAGGCCTGATGTCGTTCGATCAACATCTCCGCAGCTGCCCTCCTTACCTGAAGGACCCAATTCTCCAATATTTGAAGGTACTTAGCACGTTTTATCTTGCAGCAGAGTTTGAAGCTTCAAAGTCATGGCAGGAATAAGCCTAGGCAGTAAAATATCTTCGCATTGAAATGCAGAATGATATCAACCCAATGTCCACTGTTTGATGGTAATGAATAAACTTGGAATTATTTTGTTGTGTACTTGTTGAAACTCGAGAGATTGTGTGCACAGATAGTGATCCACTTCCAGGCATTGTTGGCCTACGCATAGTGGGAGATACCGTCCTAGGTGGTCGACTCACGGCATGTGGTCACTCCATCAACGGCACATCTCTTTGTATTTTCCAGGTATTCCAGGCTACATGAGGACACAATGTGAGATATAAACGTGGTTACTAAATTAAGCCTGTTGGATTCTCTTCAGTGATATTTTGGAGTCTGGAATTTGGTGTGAAATACTTTTTTCACTCCCTAGTCTCTCATAACTTTGTTGATTCCTTGGGTGGTCCTGCAGTGGGTACGGCATTATAGAGATGGAACTGCTGCCATGATTGAAGGTATGCAATCTTGAAACAGTTGATGTGATACGTGTGTTGTCTTGTTTTAATTCTTCATTGGCATCTATTTTGGGATAGACCTTTGGACCATGTTATTGACCGTCTACTTGTTTTATTGTTCCTTTATGAACTCTGTTTGATGGTTTGTACGAAAAATCTTAATTTCGGTGCTACCACAATTCCACTCTACTGGTACTATTAATGTTGAAGTGTTATCAAGTATTCGAGCGCGATCCTTTCAGTTCATTGATCTGAGGAGTTTTCTTCTTTCTCTGCGATTATAGGGGCAGCACAACCAGAGTACACGATCACTGCCGACGATTGTGACAGCATGGTTGCCATTGAATGTGTTCCCATGGATGAGCGTGGTCGCAGAGTAAGATGATTCCATGGTTAAAAGCCATTCAAAATTTGTTGGATTCATGGATCAACCAGTGCTTGCTATTGTTCCGAGATATTGGTTTTTGATAACTGATACTTTTGAGTAGAACTCGCATGTAGGTTCGTGTTTACTTTTCAGGAGAACGCTCTGAACTTCTGCTGCTTGTTAATTGAATTCCTTTGTATGTTCTTGTTACCACCACCTTATACGTTTGGTGATGTACAGGGTGATTTGGTTACTGTAATGGCTAACGATGGTAACTGGATCAATAGAGGTAAGTACCGAAGTTGGCTTCAGGTTTTTTAAATTTAGAAAGTGTCTTTTTGACAGAAGCCTGGAGTTTGGTTTTTTCACCTGTGACCGTGCTCTGTGGTTGAGGGACTGCGAATTACTGATGGGTGGTCTCCTTGTTATTTGCACAGATTCGATGATGGAGGATCAAATCAACAGCTACATGACAAACGGCCATGCTTCATTCGAAGTTAATTTACTGGTGAGCGATCAATGTACTGCTGCCATTCTTATCTTGGTGCTGGAATAAGAACGAAAATTTCTTGTTTTATTTTCCAGTTTAGCAAACCTTAAGAAATTCACCGATCCTAGTAATGACGGTTGTCTTATCCACAGATTCAGGAAGGAGCATCTGACGATGTTTCGGAACCTGCTACGCTAGTTTTGAGACGCTCAAATTTTGAATTGCGGCGAAATAGCAGCCGTAAAATGACTATCAATGAGAAATATGCACCTGATGTTCTCGTATGCATTCCAGTGCCTCCCTTCGGTCTTGCTCTTGAATTACGTTTTTTACTTGATGACCGTTTTGGCAATTAGGAAGACTAAAATTGGTGCTTCAAGTTGTCATATTCTGTTTTCTCGAGTAAGAGTGTAAAGGCTAAGTTTCTTTTGGGGAGCGCAGATCAAGATACCTTGTGGAGAGATACTGCAGTGTATCATTAGCAGAGAGAGTGGCGGCAGAGACAACTATCTGGAGCTACGTGATCCTCGGTGAGTCCGATTGACAGTGTTTCACATATCAGATATTGAGACTCCTAGCATGGTTGAGGGGTGCAAAACCTCAAAGTGTGTACATCTTCCGTCCACAATTGCTTACTGTTGTTCAGCTTAGAGAGTATGTTTTATGCAGAAGAGTATTATATCTAGACATGAATTTTTCGTCTGGAATTTCGTGTTTGGGTAACAATCCAGTCACGCGTCATGACAAGTTCATAGCGATGTTTCATTCACTCGGAACCGTTTTCTTTGCTTACAGAACGCGAGATATGGCAGTGCTTACATTTCGCGCTTTTCATAAAGCTGTAAGTAACCCACCACACAGAAAATACATCATTTCAATTCACTAAACTTTTGAGATTTTTGAGATTTTGGTTGATTTCCATTCTTTGCGCATTTCTAGTTCAAAAAACGGAGATATCTTTGGGATTTTCGTTTTGTTGATGCTAATGCTGTTCTAGCATCTGCGTTATTGCAGGCCATGGATGAGAAAAAAAAGACTAGACGCAAATGGCTTAGACATTGAGTGTTGACATTATTAGCAAACATTCAACATTGTAGAGCATTTTGTATGTCTGTACTTCAGGGGCAAATTATGTAGAGGAGAACTAAAGACGTGTTTATTCTGTAGATCTATGAATCCGCATAAAGTAGATTGCTGAAGATCTTTATTTGACTTTGGCTTGCTAAGTCCCAACTCAGCGCTGAAGCTAGGCCCTGCATTCGTAGTCCATTTCCTGGCACTATTTTTCAAATCCTGACATGGTTTCCGTGATGTTCATTGATCCACAACTGGTTGATTGGCTTCTTCAGATATACCTGGAAATGTTCAGTTCCTTCACCTGATTTATTAAGTTTCCAGGTTCGATTCAGTTTTTAACAATTTTATATTTGATTATTGCGTTCATAATTGCTAAAAACCTGGAGAGTTTATCTTAATGATGGAAGAAACGACTCATTAGTGCAGCACCTGAATTAGTAGACGATTGTTCTTCCCGCTTGTGCTAGATGATTAGAATGTGAATCACGACTTTCAATTCACAACCTCAATTTTCGTTTTGCAATTCATGATCTTTCCGGTGTTCCAATAATGTGCATCAAGATGGATTTGAAATTTTGATGAAAACGCAACATGCTGGAAAAACATAGTAGCAAAGGACGGTGAATTGTACACTCTATTCGTAGAATTCTTTCTACTGAGGTGTTCCCAATTTGAAAGGCTGGTGTGTTATCATTTGAGTGGACAATGCAGTTGAAGAAGGTGACATTTGATCATATTTCCTCAAGCGTCTCTTCGGATGGAAAACATCTCATTTATGATATCAGTCAATGGTTGGAAATCTTATTGAATCATTCAAAATTAGTGTAATTAGTTTCACCCCTCCAACCATAATACATAATGTGTTTCACCCATTCGCGGCTCATACTCTGGACACGCATCTCCCAATTGTTTGATCTCAAACGTATTACTTAGAAATCGAAGTTTCTGTTCACATGCAGGTATTTTCTGATTATTTCGACGGTCTTAGATGTGATTGCTTTTCAACTCTGGTACCGAAGGAAAATAATTATGGGGCAACAAAAATTACGATAGTGAATAGTATACTTCGATATTCCGTGCAATGGAGGAAGGTCTTTCAACAGAAAAAGTGTTGCGAAGGACCTAGGTTTGAGGCTTCAGATATAATCATAAAAGGCTCCTCTAAGTTAGGGCTGCAAATGCATCCATCCTCTGTCACCTTCGACCCACGAAATCCGTGTTTCAGCGCTTACAATGCCCTAGCTTATGTTCTAGGGTTTCTAGGTTGGCGGCCGTTCCTTCACTATTTAGTCGTGAGCTGCGTCGTAGTTTTATCTGGTTGATGATGTGTAGAGGTCTCAGGGGAGTGTGTGTTATGGTCTAAGTCAGTATTCATGTCGTTGCAAGTTGTGCCAACCCAAGATGCAGCCTGTGCACAGTGAAGATTATCTGTCAAACTTTTTGAATCTGGTGCACGACTTGCTGTTGTTATTTTCGACTGCCATGTTTGTGCGTGTTCCACTCTTCCGAGGATTTCTGGGTGTGTGTAGTCCAGTTCTGCGATGAATTCTCTTAGTTTGCTACACTAACTTCGGGGACTTAGTTTGTTATATTAATCCTTTTCTGAGCTTAATCTGTCAGTGATAGATGTCCAGGGCAAGTGTAAATGATGCGAAACCAAGATCCAGCTCCTATGTCTACTGAGGATTATCTAAACGAGCTTTTTAAATCTGATGCACTTTGCCCTCCCTCAGCTTTTTCATTTTGTGTCTGAGTAGCCTAGGTTTTTTCTATCAAATTGCAATCTCTACTGTACAAATGAAATTGAGCTTTGATGTGATCACTGTGGGCAATGTAAAATCCTAACCAAGTATATTACCAAACTTTAATATCACATTTCTTTTTTCGGAGATCCATGTCGGCATATTCCGACATGTCTTTCTATTGTTGAGCCTCATCCCAAGCCCACGGGTTAAGATTGAATTACAACTAATTACTCACTCGAACAAATTGTATCCCAAGGCGGACACTAAAATCCCGACACTATACCTCCAGAATATTATTTCAGTTTCTCTATAATGGAACACACTAGAAACCGCTTCTGGACGACGAACGATGCGGTCGATGGATAGAGAGAAAGCCACTCTGAAGCCCTACTAGCCACGAACATCACGGGATTAGGGCCTGGATGTCGACCAGTCATCGCTCAGCTGAGCGCGTAAACATACAAGCCCTATGGACAGTGAAAATGAAGGAATCAAACTCATGATCGCGTGGTAGTGGAGCTTAACTTCAATGCTACCCTTAATGGACGCACACTTGACGGTCGCTATGTAGCACTATGGATAAGGCGTATTGATGGATAATGGGAGTGTAAGATTGCGAAGGGGTCTCCTGATGCTGCACCGAACCTCAAGTGACCTTTATGGCGTACTGTCCTTGTCTATGATTCTCTGGAATAGATGTTGCTATGGCAGACCCGCTTCAGATGTGTGGTCAACGTTGAACGTGAGATTGAAATGTTCACTTCGTTTCAAAATATTGGACTACTGTTGCATTTTACATCTTCTATTAATGGAGCTAATTTGCTTCTCTTGCGAAATTGGTTAGATTATCCTTTTTATTGTCTTCTTTTTATCATAGAAGTGCGGCATTGTAATGATTAAAGTTTTGCATTCAGGCGCTCTAAGAAGTTGATAGTGAACTGAAAGCTATGGCGGTTGAGACTCGTATACCTGAAACAACTGCATCTAGAAATACATTGAAGGCATCTAAGCAAATGGCTTGTGGTTCGCAAAGTGGAGCTCTGAAGCGGCAAGTCGCTGCGTCTGTGCCTAACAGCACCAAAGCACTTACTACGAAATTGCCAGCAACAAAACCTTCTGAATCTGTCGTTGAAAAAAACGGTCCTCCTTGCGGAAAAACAGCATTGAATCGCAAGGCATTTCTTCTTCGATATTTCATACCTTCCGTTTTAAACTTTTCTAACGCTGATGTTACGTGTTCTATTGTTGGTACTCAATAATTTTGAATGATATTTTTATTAATCACTTTACAGGCGACTCTTCGAATAAAGGATGTCCCATGCATCGACGTGCAGGTTCCTCGCTCCACTAGCTTCTCTGAGGCTGTTCGTACCGATTCTGTAATTGTCGATCACTTTTCCTAGAGTTTGGTGGTTTCCTCAACTGATCAAACTTCTAGCGAGACGCAGTTGCTGGTTCAAATTTCCGTATTATGCATACATCCTCTGCCTCATTTTTAATTTACTGAAGATGTATCCAATGAACCTAGTAGCGAAAGCTTTAATTCATGTGTAATGTAATTAGAACCTGCGAAGAAGGATTTGAAGTTTTGAAGTCAGATTTTGTCATTACCTATGATTTGTTTGTGGACTGACTTCTATCAATTTATGACCGATTTCTATACATATACCGATTTATGACTGATTTCTATACATATACCGATTTATGACTGATTTCTATACATATACCGATTTATGACTGATTTCTATACATATACCGATTTATGGCTGATTTCTATACATATACCGATTTATGGCTGATTTCTATACATATACCGATTTATGGCTGATTTCTATACATATATCCAAATTGTGCAACAGGAAGCTTCAAACAAATCATTGGGAAGTATTGAACAGAACGAGAGCAAACACGTTTCGGACTTGGAAGAGCCATCTCTACCGGAAATTGAAATGCAATACAAGGACTTGGACGTGATTGATTCGAGTTTACAGGCTGTGAGTTGGTTTCCTGTCGGTGATGTTGAGTTAGACGAGTTTTGGGAACTGAAAGCGGACCATAATCCTAAATCTGGGTTGACGATTCAGAGTTTAACTTCCGGTGATCCAATCCCCTTGATCGTCAACGAGATCAATGGTTCTAGTAGCGAATTGGAAGGTGCGGTTTGCAGAGAATTCTTAGTTAATCAACGACATCACAAAGAGAAGCAGCTGGAAAGAGGAATATGTGTTGTGGAACAAGAAATAAGTCTCAAGGAACCAGATGTGATTAAAGGTCTGGAAATGAAGAACGGCTTACACGAGTATGATGAAAGTGCTCAGGCCTCTTCCAATGTTACTTCAGAAGGTATAACTGATAGAACCAAACAAGACTTCCAACTGACAAAGCCCTCTGGTAAGCTGGTTTGCCACGAAGGATACGTTTTTGATGTTTTCAGAGGCTGGCGGACAAAAAATGTAGTGATACCAAGCGTCCTCGTTATGATTACGGTCTGGTTTTGTGTCGAAAATACGAGCGGTGATGTACTTGGGATACTTCCTCCTACCTAAATCACTTCTGGAGAGTGGAAGGAGCCTAGGGGGTCTCAATAAATTTTAAAGGATCACCATGGGGGAAACTGAGCAACTTTTCATCAAGTCATTGAACAAATAACATGCAGCCTATATACTTGTCTGTTCTAAGCGTTTGGTTCTTACCTTCGGCGCTGTTTACAAGTTTACTAGCACAGATTTTCCGCAATTCCAAGTGGTAGAACTGCGCAGACTTAATTTAGAATCCCCTTCTTTGGACAGTAGAAATCTCGTTTCAGCATGGAATTCACAGTCTATGCCTGAACTCTAACTGAATGATTGTACAGATGAAAACACAGCGCTCGGCAACCTAGTTTACGATCTTTGGAACAGATTCACCTTCTGTGCAAGTTCGCAAATTAGTGATTGCATGAGAAGTTATTTACCACTAATCCATAGTTTCCTGCCTCATGCGCCAATAATAATAATAATAATAATAAAAAAATAATAAAAAAAAAAAACCCCTGCTGTGAGCGCAATTTGGAATGTTAAAGTAACAGCTATGGCACCAGCAAAGGAAGCTATTGCACGAAAAATTGGTCAGAACTCTACTCCAAACAATCAACCATCTCAAATACTCCAAACACTTAGCAGCTTCTAGATCAAATATAAGATTCTGTAAGACTCTGGATTTCAACAAAATCTATTGTCCAACGGACTATAATGTAGAAAACATTCATATACAAGAGCATTCAAATACTTCACCACATTCGATAGATCACTTGGTGTCTACAGCCAAGTGGACCGAGTAAATGCGAGCATTCTCGATCGGGTATGATCAGTTTAGATAGAATATGCTGTTGTCGTTTCTCCAAGGTTTTTTCCGCTGTGATCGCTGAACAAGCACTGCAAGTTATTAGGCACTTGGACATGAACAGAAGTGAAAACTGAGGCAGCTTCTCTGTGTGAAGTTTTTACTGCTTAGCAACGGAACCACCGACATGGATGTCCTCAGCCTGCTCCGATTTGTCACTATGCCCACCGATTTCAATACTGCGAACCTTCTGCTGCTCCGTCTCCGCTTTCGGCACCACCACTGTCAGCACCCCGTTCTCCACATTCGCCTTGACATGATCCACGTTCGAATTCTCCGGGAGCCTAAACTTGCGCATGAACTGGCCACTGCTGCGCTCCACTCGGTGCCAGGTATCTGTTGTCTGCACCTCTTCCTTCTGGCGCTTTCCGCTGATACTCAGCGTTCTCCCATCCTCGATCTCTACCTTGACTTCCTCCTTCCTCAGCCCTGGTAGATCGGCCTTAAAGACGTGTTCAGTGGGCGTCTCCTTCCAGTCCACATTGGTGCTGGCGATCGCATGCGCGTCTCGAGCAAACGAATGCGCAGGGGCGTTCTCGAACATGGTCATCATCATGTCCTGTGGGTCGGGCATGTCCCAAAAGCCGCCACGGCCACGTCCGAAGACCGATGAGAGCGCCATTTTCCTAGAGACTTACAGCCGCTGAACTCCACTACACCAAGGCACGGCACTATTCTCTATGCTCCCTGTTATCAACCTATCGATAACACTCAATACACTCAATCTGCACTCGATATGATCTCGAGATACACTAGTAACGATAAGCTGTATGAGCTGTATGCGGCTGTTTTAACTAAACTGCACCCGACGAGGATTTATATAAGCAGTGCTGAAGGCGATGCCGAAGCGACTAGAAGCAGCTCCAGAACTTTCTTCATCCCAAGACTTCCAGTTCATGAACTTCGTCAGCAATCTCCAAACTTCTAGACAGTATGGGTGTCCTTCAGCTGGAAGATAAAGGAAGAATAGAAAATCCACGAAACACTGGAATAAACCTCTGCATGGCCACTGAAATGGTATTGATGACAGGTGACAACTTGCATGGTCCATGCAATAACTCTGGGTAAGCCTGAGACAAAATGTAGTGTGAACACATACATGTTGCAATATGTATGTTCATGTATGCACAACCATATAAAAGTCTTGTAGGAAATAGTAAGAAATTTAAGGCCCAACCGAACGAGGTGCTGATGCAGCATGGATTCACTGCACAAACGAAGCTAGACGAATGACGTAGGCAACGCTAACGAATGAGAGGATTCGAATATATATCCTTTCGCAAGTAGTGTCTCAAAAGTTTCTACATCAGGTACACCACTTGGGCCAAGGCTCTATAATGTGTGATGCTAATATTGGCCAAAATAAGTGCCTGCAGATGGTCATGCAAGTTGCAGTAGTGAACACTACACCACAAAGACACGTGAGTCATTGAATTCAAATTAACATTCTCGTCCCTTAATATGAAACAAAAATGGCTTCTAAATGGCCGATTTCTAGGATGGCATCTCTGACCTTAACTGTATTTAAATACTCAGAACTCGCAATTGAATCAAGGTGCACCTGTAGAAAATTACAATGGCATGTTTCCAAGGCTGCTAGCAGCAATTTACAAGGAAAAAAAACCTTCATCATGGTAAGCAACATCCATAAATAATCTAACATTGAAAGGGTCCAACTGTGTACTCGATTATAGTAACCTAAAGATAATAAAGAAAGAATCACAAAAGAAATGCTTGTGCACTAAGCATAGTACAAAGAGTTAGGAAGCTTGAAAGTGCGTTTGCCAACAGCCTGACCGGTGAGATCACTCCATTGATCCCCAATTCCAGCCCACAAACGAAACCCTTGCTTTTCAAGCTCCAGTCTAGACTTCGATTTGAAGTCTACTATTGGACCTGGCTCCGATCTGGTTACCAGAAAAAAAGAGAAGGCACCCCTCATGAGTACCAACAAACAAGAGGTGATGATGAGAGACCAGTCCTAACTTAAGGTCGTGAATAATTGCATTGTCAAGATAGTTTAAGGTCATACAACCGACAACTTTGTATATTTCCTACGCGTAAATGAATTAACGTAAATACGGACACATCATAGCATGAGAATCCTTGCGACCACAACATGTCTATAATAAAACGCCTGACCTGAGAATAAGAATGTAATCTTTGTATCCCGCGCTGTTCAAGTTTGTGACAGTAGCATTCCGTTGCCCTTCGTCCCTATCAGAAATGATGGCAATACTCCAGTTGAGGGCTTTAAGCTCCTTGTACAAGGACAACATTGGGTCCAAGGGTGGCATCTTCGCAAGGTTAACATATCCATCCCACACGTCTTGCTTGAAATATTCAGCACTGCAGAAGAATAATCGCGACCAAATAAACACAAAGTACTCATTTTTAAGAAAATGAGAGCTATATCAATGCAGAAGGGACAACTTCCAATAGCAAATCGTCCATGTGTTCCTACAATACAAGCCATATTGACAGATTGAACCTTAACAACAAAGTGAGTCAATTTCGAAATTCTCAGTTCATGATTCTGCTCCACAAGATCATATACTATCACGACGACAACGATAGATTGTAAATGGCAGTTAGGACGACCAAGTAGCTTCGAAACGCGTCTCTGATCTCCCTCCAATACTAACGTCAATAATAACCAAAGCAGATAGATAACCTTCCAGTACACGGCATGGATTTCCCAGCTTCATAAGAGGAAGAAATAGAAATAAGGTCAGAGGTCTTCATCACAGAGCGCGGTGTACTAGCTAGCACGAGCACGCTCACAGCCTGAGTACTACACAAAATCTAAAGACCACAAACAAATAATCTCTATCAATCCACAATGGTATACGAGGTTATAGAAAGGCACTTAACGATGCTTACCCAAAGTGGTGCAGCCGAAGTAAAGGAAGGCTGGATAACATTGTATCGTCAAGGTCAAGGACGAGCAAGTCCCGACCATCAGACTCAACCACCACTGACCTTAGGTATGTTCTTGCTGCGTCGATTGCGAGAGCGAAGTCGACATAGTACTGGCCTGAACCAATGTATATTTCCGCATTTGTAATGCAATCTTGTGGAAGAGTCCAGTTCCGCAGATTATACACCTCAGCGCTCAACGCGAAGCTCGCACACTGGTTAGGTTTTTCCAGAATCTTGGGTTTGTCTTCGCACTGCCCCAACATGACAGCCAGTGTCACCACAAGGGTGAAGAATACAATCCCTAAAGTCGCCACAGCGGACAGAATTATCGTGACCGCTAGAGATGATAAATAAATCCCCGTATCGTCTATTTGAACATAAGTGTTCCCAAACCCATATCTACTTCCGAACTCTGCACAGATGGGCCCAACAAAGCTCCTCTTGTCAGAAACCCCTAATCACACTTCAGATCCTACTCCAATTCAATCTGTACCGCAACAGGTACAAGATCACGAAACCCCAATCGAGGCCCCCAACAGCAGCATCAATGCCCAATCCAAACCACATTTTTGTTTTTCTTTAAACCACAAACCCATCCCAGTCTTAAGATAAAATAAAATAAAATAAAATAAAAACGAGTCACGAGTCACGAATCACGAATCGTCTCTATTCCTCACACCCAGGGTCACAGCAATACACAACTACAAGCTCAAGGATTCAACAAGAAGCGAGGGAAACTCCTTGATCGTTACAAAAAATGACAATTCCCAACGAAGTTCAACATTTCAATTTCCATCTATCGACGCGCCGGCAGCACCTGAATCACGCCCGATGCTAAGGAGCGAGTTGGTGGACTCGAGGCGGCTGCTGAAGAGGGAAGCAGCGCTAGATCGTCGACTTCCCAAGAGGTCATTGCCCGCATCGAGGCGATAACTGAAGGAACGGGGCACAGTGATGGGCACAGGTCCCGCAGCAGCATCTGCGCTGGCCTCATCAAGAACATCATCCCCCCCTTGCAATCCAAGCAGCGGCGCATCTGCCATGTCCACCACCACCACCACGCTCGCTCAGTGTCTCCTCCTCCTCCTCCTTCTCCTTCCCTCGTCCTGTTTTTCCTGTCCCTGCCTCCCTGCCTCCGCGGTGGGTGGGGTGGGTGGCTTCACGCATCCGGCATCATCATCATCATCCCTACAGCCATCGCATGGCCCCTCCTTCCTTCCCTTCCTTCCTTTCCCTTCCTTCCTTTCTTTTCCTTCTTCCCTTCCTTCCTCCCTTCCTTTCCTTTTAACACTACTGCATACCTGCGCACCGTA